AAAAAAAGGTTTGAAGACAGGACGGGACATGACACCCCAATAACGTTTTTTAACATGGACCATTTTTAAAATCTGAGACAAGACCCCCCGGAGTTCCATGTTAAATTTATCATGTCATTCTAATCTGGGAGCCCCAGTTAACATGGTTTTAACATGGAACAAAAACAAGTTTTGAGAAAGGACCCCTCCAGGAGTTCCATGTTAAATTTATCATGTCATTCTAATCCGGGAGCCCCAGTTAACTTTGTTTTAACATGGAACAAAAACAAGGTTTGAGAAAGGACCCCTCCAGGAGTTCCATGTTAAATTTATCATGTCATTCTAATCCGGGAGCCCCAGTTAACTTTGTTTTAACATGGAACAAAAACAAGGTTTGAGAAAGGACCCCTCCAGGAGTTCCATGTTAAATTTATCATGTCATTCTAATCCGGGAGCCCCAGTTAACTTTGTTTTAACATGGAACAAAAACAAGGTTTGAGAAAGGACCCCTCCAGGAGTTCTATGTTAAACAATCGTGTGGCACCCCCTGGCAACTACTAACATGGAACTGTTTGTTGATGGTTAGTAAATTAACATGGAACGATTTTGGGGGGCAGCCAACGTAGGTCGGGGTCATTTTCAGAAAAAAAATGGCTCCGGTCACAATTGACTTTTGTTCCATGTTCACCTTCCCGGGGTCATTTATGTACCATTTATTTGTTCCATGTTAAAATTCTAAAAAAGTCGGTTTTGTTCTATGTTATCCTGAAGGGGTGTATGTTTTCTTGAAGGGTTGACGGTATTGGTGTGTATTTTACCTGCAAATAGGTGGGGTTTCATATGAGTGTTGAGTCCATGAAAATCCAGCATCAGCCAACTGAGGGTATGGCTGAGGCCAGAAAGTTTGACCCCTGCTGATCAGTAAAGGCAAAACTAGGTGTTGGTTGTTTCTTGTGGGTGATATTGCATAGATATATAATTTAATGACATATATTTATTATATATATATATATTGCACCCCCCGCTGAAACCTACCTTTTTGACATATTTATCAGATTTTTGGGTCAATACGGGGTTACCTTACATACACGCTAAGGGTCCTATATATATATATATATATTCTCATAGTGTAACAAGTATGCTATTATAAGTATGCTATTGAGACTGATTGAACTTAACTTCAATGATAGCATTTTGGGAAAAATGCATTCAGAATGCAGTCTGTGCTAAAACTATGATCTAAGAACTAGGATTCCCCCACAACTCCTGAACAAATCTTAGAACTCCGAACCAAAACCAAGAACCAAGAACTAAGATTCCCCCAGGACTTCTGAACAAATCTTAGAATTTCCGAACCAAAACCAAGAGCCAAGAACTAAGATTCCCCACAGACTCCTGAGCAAATCTTAGTTCTTAGTTTTAAATCTAAGATCCCACAAACTCCTGAGCAAATCTTAGTTCTTGGTTCTTGGTTTTAAATCTAGGATTCCCCAAAGATTCCTGCGGGCAAATCTTAGTTCTTGGTTCTTGGTTTTAAATCTAAGATTCCCAAAAGACTAGGGAAAGAATGCATTCTGAACGCATTCCTGCATTTACGATGTCATCTTCTCCAGTCTGTTTGCCTTACTTCCTTTCTCGCTTCTCCAGTGCCGCTTTTTGCTTTCAGCAACCAACGCATCCACTCCTTCCTCTCTTTCTATCATGGCATTCGAACGGTGAAGCTGCAAAATGGGATGGCTGTGATGACCTTGGGCGTCCAGAATGAACCAGGCATCAAAATTACAATGACGCGGCCATCTACACAGGAGGTGCTGGACAAGATTGCGGCAGGAACCCTGGTGGCACATCCGACCCGACAACCGCTCCAGAAGAAGGATGTGACCACCATGATGGGGACAACGGCAACTTCGACTCCAGCCCGGTGGAGTGGTGGGTGGAATGAGGAAGCGCAAAGGCGGCTTGAGACTTTCCTGGCCAATCCCAAAAGGAGTGCTGAGCAGTTGGCCTTAGAAGATAGGAAGCCGGAAGGCAAGATGCCAGAAGACAAGAAGTCATCCTCTGTCTCGTCATCCTCAGGTTCTTCCTCCTCGGGCTCGGACGACTCATCAGATGAGGCTCCCAAGGCAGCATGTTCCCCACCACGAAATTGTGCCATGGATCTTGAAGTTGCCAAGGCCAAGCTGAAGGAGAAAGCCGCCGAAGTGCAAACCTTAAAGCACGACGTTGAGGGCATCTTCAGTGCCTGATGCCATACATCTTCGGAGCTCGAGAAGGCAAACATTCAGAGTGATCACCACAAGAGACTCATTGACGGCCTGACAAAGGAGAATGCCATGTTACGTCGTCAACTCGAGGGACACGGCATTGAAGATGTGAATGATGTGGATGCTCCTATGGCATCTGATGATGAGGATGGGTCGTCTTCTTCTTCTTCTGAGCCTGAAATGACATCTGACCATGGTTCTGCTGATGAGCCAACTGCATGTGATAATTAGTAGCCATCTTATAATATATACAAGCCGTCTGGTGAACAAGGCATGAGTTTTTATTTTGCACTAAAGACCCAGAACATTATGAAGCAGCTAGGTAGCGTGTATCTCCAAGCGCATGTCCTTATGAGCCTGCCCGCGTGTGTTGGAAAAATATTGTGCGATTGTTTGCTTAGATCTTTGCACGGCCATGGTTTCACACTGCTTAGACTAGTTCGGGGTGGATCTCATGTGTCTCGATATGAGAATGATAATAATCTAACCTATAATACTTGCAACTGCAGTGGTGTCCGAATATTTCTTTAGAAAAGGCCATCCTAAGTGTCTGCTGCATACTGTTGACATTCTGCTTGCATTCTCATTGCGATCTTCAGCATCACGCAAACATCACATCTTCATTGATGCTTTTCTTTGTTTCCCACATGCTTCCTTCATCGCAGCGTGCATGTTCACTATAGCCCGTCTGATTCCCACGAACATGTCGTTGCCATGGCGCACAACCTCGTGGACACAGCAATGGCCAACTATGGTGGAAAGTCCTGATCCCTGTGGGCTCTAGATTCCCCTACTTCTGTCTCCAAGACTGAGGAGACGATTGAGGGTCCACTATCTCTACCAGACTTCGTTGCCAGTGTCTGTCGCAAGGTCGCCGGCATGGTTCGATGTTCAGATGTCTGTTCCTGACTTGGGCCTCTCAATCTGGTGGTGGATGCGGTTGCCAACAATGACGCATTGCCAGAATCTATCCGTCCCCCTCGTGATCTACCAGCGTCACTGCAAGAAACGAGTCAAAGTGAAGGAAAAAACGGTGTGGCGAAAGCCGTGCTATGTCAAACTGGCCTCGCACAAGGATCCCTTCACTGGCCGCCTTATCAAGACCAAAGGCGGCACACAGATCATTGATCGCGTGTGGCTTTTCCTCAAGGAGCGCATCACTTTGAACCAGAACGCGACTGTCGGTTCACCACTGCTGCGTGCCAAGATCAGAAGTGCCCAGTACGAGTACTGGCACAGGAACAGTGATCTTTGGCTCGCCTGCGGTTCTCTTTGTTCCTGGCATATGGCCAAAATGGTTCCATAGCTGGCCAAGACGATTCTGCAGGGGATGTGCAGTTTTAAAAATGTGATCTGGAGCCAACCATCTTGTCTGCATGTCATTCAACAGCACAGCATCAAAATTCTGAATCATCATATAGTATGCCTGCAAGATCTGAAAGCATACAAAATCAAAAAAAAGCATGTGTCACAAGAAGGAACAGAAACATTGTAAAAACCAGTGTAAGGCTCAAAATTGACATTTGGCCACAGTGCCGTGCGCATTCTGTCAATATTTGACTTTTTTCGGAACACAATACGGTAGTCGAAAACGCTGCAAATACCCTCAAAATATGTCATTGAATCTACACATGAAGCATCATGACTCATCATGTTCAAGCATCCAAAGTCTGTGTGCTTTCAAGACAAAAACCAACAAAAATCACTGTAAAACACAAAAAAAGGAAACCGGTAGGTTTCAAGGGGGGTTAGCATATGTATATATATATGTATATATATATATATATATGATATATGTATGTGTATATATATATATATGTCACTGCCAAGGAAAACTTCACCACTATTGTTCAAGTCTACGTTTTTCGAGCAATGCCCGGTTGATTGAGTTTGGTTGACGGTAGCCCGGGTTTTTTCATGGCACCGCTTATTGTAACAGTACTTTGGAACGTGTATGGGCCGCAACAGACATCGTCAGGCAAGCATGTTGTCGGAGCATCCTAGGGATCGGAACTGGTGTGCAGGTAGAATGATGTGGTTCTACATATATCTGGGAAAATTTATAAGAGGAATCATCCCAAAATGGCCTTAATTCAGGTTAGTGAAATATTATAATTACCCAGGTATATGCATATATAACATACAATTCTACGCTTAATTATTATATATTATAATTTCTATTTTCTATACACAAACGGCCTATAAATGCTGAGACAGATAGAATTAACAACGTTCGTGGGTTCAACCAAAATCGCCTATGCTACAAAAGAACAGAATTGGGATTCTGGTGGGCATGTCCAATAAAGTTTAGGAGTCTAATCACCGCATTTCCCTGGAAATTTGGAACCAAGAACGTAATCTGCAGATAATTACCTAGACCGTCCAAGTATCTAGAGAAATGTGGTAACATACCCCGTTACGTGGGACTTGGATCCATTTTTTTGGGTACTTGGAGGATCTAAGTATCTAAAAATTTTGTTTTTTGGGCCGGGGGCCCTACTGGAAGGAACCTGAATTGACCTGATCCCCGTTGACGAATGTCACAAACCCAATACCATAAGCCACCCCAGTGACTAAACACGTTGGGGTCATATACCAACTATCCAACTAGTAAAATGGTAGTCGTATACAATACACAATTTCATTCAGTATAAACCCTGCTTTGAGGTTTTTAGTGATGGATTGGGGCATTGGGTTTCCTACCATGGGATGTCCCCAACTTTTCGACACTCCACAGATCCCCTTTTCATCTTGGAGGTGAAAAATGTGGGCGCTGTGGCGGGGGCTGAGGTTGTTCAGGCGGGCCGAGCGCGAGTGGAAGGCAGCAAAATCCTAATGACGAGCGGAGAACGACTTTGCTATCTTTTTGGGGTAAGTAACTACACTTGAAAACCAGCATTTCTAGACCTGCTGGAAGATTGTACAAGGTCTTACCAATGAATATGTCACAGCAGCCAAGATGATCTATAAATCAAGGAACTTTAGGGATCTCATATTGTCAGGTCAGATTACACGAGGGTAGATCTACGTAAATGTGAGCTGGGCATATAGAGATTGCATTTTATTTGTTTGCTAGAAATGAGAAAATATGTGATACCCAGCTCCAAACTAACCGTTGAACCCATCCGAGAATGGCCAGCGTGAGCTGAGACGGTGTCCTGAACTGTTTGATCAGAGTCTTAGCGGCCCCCAGAGGAAATGAGATAGTGTTAACATTCTAAGAAAATAAAGAATCCCGGATGTTGGTAATGGCTCCTGGTTTTACATTCCAATATTTCAGAGCACATTCAGTGTACTTGAGTTTGACGGGGAACCAAACGGAGAGTAAATGGTCTCATTATAGTGCTTGTCGGCATCACGTACTTCAACGTTTCACAACCAAAACTGCTTACACATTGACCTTCACTGTCAGGTCGCTGACGGCACGTATCATCACGTATCATCAAACATCTCTATTTGACTCATTGATAGTGACCGGTAGTGATGGCACATACTTAAGAGGATCACAAACATGTCATGATCCTAGTGGACTGGAATATAATTACTGGAATCGTGGATTTGATGATGATGATCCTGGGATAATGTAGTCAGATTCGGTCCCGCCAATGGACCACGTCCCCGTGTCCCAGCCTACCCCACAACGGGCAAAAGGATGGACAATGGATTTGAGATATTTTTAGATAGTTTTGCATGACCCAAATACGACATATTTGACTGCAAAATCCATTAATTTTGCTGCAAGTTTTTTTTTTCAACTCGGGCTCTACTGGGTATCACGAGCTAATCCAAGATGCGAACTATCCACCAACCAATTAATGTAGATATTTATATCTTTAGTTTTCATGGTTCAAGACATTAGGGGTTTATAAGTATATAAAACACCATAGAAGAACTTTATGGCCATATCAAACCGTTATTCTGGATGATCTATAAGCAACTCAGGTCGCGCCGTCACTGGAATGACTATGATTTATTGGTGTGACTATCCGATTTTATGGCCGTATGTTTTAGGCTTGGTGAATAATGTTGATTTATCAAAACCCATTTGCTTTCCCACTAAATTCTTATATTATGTACATGTAAATCTTATAATTATTCTGTAAAACATCATTTTTCCTATATTGCCCTATCTATTTTGTTGCTAGAGATTCCCAACTTCGATGACGACGCCCATCGCTGCCAGTTGTACATCACGACGCTGCAAGTACCACGTGCCCTGAAAGCCTTCGCACGCACCAAGACTTTGCAACCTCAGGAGAGTTGCAAGGTGCTCCCGGCGAGAAATTGTGCTGAAGGCTAGTTGAAATTATAGTTTCATATACAACAATCTAGATAAAGATGATCACGACCTCACGTCGCGACGGAATGATGGAATGATGAAATAGATTTGTTTCAGTGCTGAACAGAAGTTTTTGAGCCTTATTTCAGGTAATAACGCGTTGCAGTTTACTCAGAATCATCAATAATATAGGTAGATCCATAGTTTCTGTAGATATTCTCAGATATACGTAGTTATATATTTATATATATATATATACATACTGCATACATCTGCATACTGTATATATATATATATAAAGTTTAAATACCGAGGCTACAGATAGACAGAGAGCGAGGGAGTCCAGTCTATTTTGCCGCCGTAAATGGAGATACATACATGTTAGCCACCGTCACCTGAAACGAAGGACATATGAGACTAGCTAGCTACGTAGTTTCAGAGTCTGTCTGAAGTATGCGAGAGGTTAAAGTGAGGTAAGCACATTCCATTCTGTATTAAACATTCCATTTTTCATGGGAACGGGCCTGGTATATGTAAATAGACAATTATCTTAAACTATTTCCAATGGGATTATCGAAGGAAGTTTAGAAGTCAAACTTCCGACAATATGGACAGATGGGAAAGCAGAGGTGGGAAGAGTCAGAGAAGAGAAGAGCAGAAGAGAGAAGATCAGAGAAGAGAAAGAGTGAGAAGAAAGAAGATGCAGGTGCGCGAAAAGGTAGCAAAGTGGCGAAACACTGTGTTTTGCCAATGATTTGTGGCTCCGGAGGGTCGAAAAGTAGGCTCGCTAAAGCGACGGGTGCGGAGCCATGTGGCCAGATGAGGGATGAAAAATTGCACGCCCTTGTGGCGGGAAGCGCATTTCCAAGTCAAACTGCACAACACACCTCAACTTCGGAGCGCTTTTGGAAGTTGAGATGTCGAAAAAGTGCATGCCGTTGTGGCGCGAAGCAAAATTCGAAGTCAAACGTAAAAAAGACGGTCTCGGACCACTTTTGGAAGTTCAGATGTCGAAAAAGTGTACGCCGTTGTGGCGCAAAGCACATGTCCAAGTCAAAATGTTCAAAAACACCACATGTTCGGACCGCTTTTTGGCGATCAGATGTCGTTTTGCGTGGCAGGCGCAACGGATTGTGCACCTTGTCAAAAATCAGCAAACCGTGAGGATTTTGTAACACTTTCAACTACAACCACCACTACACCCCACTACGTTACACTACACTACACTACAACTACAAGTACGGCTACCACTACAACTAAACTACAACTACACTACATTACACTACACTACACTAATCACATTACGCTACACTACACTACACTCCACTAGACTACGCTAAACTATCTACAGCCACAACTACAACTACACTACATTATGCTACACTACGCTAGTTACACTACACTACACTCCACTTCACTACACTACACTCAGTCACACTACACTAGACTACACTACAACTACAACTACCACTACAACTACAACATTCCCCTGCATTTTTTCTTTAGAATTGGGACGCCTAGGTGCTGTATAAAACAATTTTTTAATACAGGTTCCCCCGTCAATTTCAGCTGCCCTGTTTGCCTTGTTTTGGTGGGCTCTAATTTTATCTCAAACCTCCGGGTCCCAACTTTATATATTTTTTGGGTGCCTAAATTTAGTGGCCTAGGGCTCCAATTTTATATGAGGCTCCGATTCTATAGGGACATATGTCCGTTTTGTATGGTTTCGTTCAGTCGCCATTTTTTTAGTGTATCAATGCATGGTTTCATGAAACAACTTGGTCACCAAAGGATTCCAATTTTGTAGCTACCTGCAATGTTCTGCATGCCAGGGACCCAATTTCATAGCACCTTTGTTTTTTTTCTACATCAGAGCGCTCAAGCATGCGCAAAGCGCATGCTGGAGAAGAGAAAAACATGAACAAACAAATACAAAAAACATAAAACAATCCATAAAGTTCATCAAACATATTAAAGCGTTTAATTAAGACAGTAGAAAAAAACACATGAAAGCATTTTCACCTTTCAACGTGGAAGATGTTTTTCCCCTGCTGCACACGTTTACATCGTGTGTTGGGGCATTACTTAAACTGAGATAAAACTGGGGAACACATAAACGAAGGAAAATAGAGGCCCCCAAGATGCGACTTGGGACACCAAATTTTAATTTAAAAAAACACCTATGATCAAACCATTTTGGATGGTCCCAATTTTATAAAGGTCAATTTGGAGATAGTACCACCCCCCCAAGTGACCTGGGTGTCCCAATTTTGTAGTGTTGTTGGGCTTGATGATATTGATGGGTTACTAGCAGGTTGTGATTGTATAGGGCTGATTATGTATGTGTCTGTCAGGGTTTCAATTTTTATAGGGCTGATGGCCACTGAAGGGCATGTTCAAAGGATACACTGGGTCCCCTATAAAACTGAAACACCCAGGTCACTGGGGTGAATTGGCAAGGGGATACTGCAACTACAACTACACTACACTACACTACATTAATTACATTACACTACGCTAATTTCATTACACTACGCTAAACTACACGACATTACACTACACTACACTAACTACAACTACAGCTACAACTACAACTGCAACTGCAACTACACTACATTACACTACACTCCACCAGACTACAGCACACAACACTACACTCAATTTTCACTACATTACACTAAACAACACTACATTACACCAACTACAACTGCAGCTAGAACTACAACTACACCTACACTACATTACATTACACTACGCTAATTACACTGCACTACACTACACTACAAGACACCCCGCTTCACTTCACTACACTACACTCAATCACACTGCACTACACTACACCTGCACCTACACCTACCACTACAACTACAACTACGCTACATTACACTACACTACACTAATTACATTACACTACCCTACACTATTCAAATTATATACATTACGCTACACTAGACTACACTCCACTAGGCTACACTACACTATCTACAACTACAACTGCAACTACAACTACATTACGCTACACTACACTACGCTGTTTGCATTAATTGCACTACACTACATTGCGCTACACTACACTCCACTACATTACACTACATTACACTACAGTCCAGTACACTACACTACACTCACTACAACTACAACTACAACTACAACTACAACTACGCCTACAACTACAACTACAACTAGAACTACCCTACACTAATTGTACTACACAACACTACACTTCACCACACTACACTACACTACACTACATTACACTACACTACACTACACTACACTATATACACCGACTACAACTACAGCTACAACTACAACTACGCAACTTTGCACTCCACCACACTTAGACTACACTACACTACTCTACATTACACCGCGCTACACCCAGTACACCACCACAAATGCAACTGCAATAACGCTGCACTAATTACACTACACCACAGCTACAGCTCCACTACACTACAACCAGAAATACAGCTGCACTTCACTACACCACACTACATCCAGCAGCTGTGGGTGAGGGGACCGACCAGGTGACCACTGCAACCATTGCAACCACTCCAAAAAACACAACTCTAACCACCTTTCAGTCCATCAGCGGATTCGCTCCGCCATCCGTGATTCACAACAACCAGCCTCTCCTATAGGTTTCCTATTTTTGAAACTTCCGCCACCGCTTTGTGCGGTACTACTGGTATAATCGTATCCATTAAAGAAAATGTCAACAAGTCTTCCTCAAAAATGATGTCGTTTTAAGATGTCTTAAGATTTCTCGAAGATGACGGTTTTTTTTTAATATACGAATGTTCCCAAAGACTAAGCCACCTAAAGTGTTTTCGAAAGTTTTCCCATCGGCAGGTCACGCTGCAGTTGGACGAGCGAGCGCTCGGGAGTTTCTATGACCCTGACCAAGGCCGTGGGTTTGTGGTATGGCTAAAAATCTGATACCCCGAACAAAAAGATAGATCCAAATGAATGCTTATATAATATTATATAATACCAACTGTGAATCGTTAAACCACACAACAACTGGTTTTATGGGAAACAAAAACCGGCGATCTCTCTGAAAAAAAACGTCCACACCTTTCAGTTCGAAACCAGCTTTAGTCATACACGGCTATGCATGTGAATAGCCAGAAGTGGTGGTATACCCAATCTTCAGACGTCCATATGGTACCCAAGGAGTTTGACCCAGAGTTCCCCAGGTGGATGGGTGCGCCCTCTCCAAGACCGTGAGATTCTGTTGGAAGTCGGTGCCTCCTCTAAGGATGTACGTTTGAGCCAGAAACTCATCACATGACTGTGGCTGCCAGGGTTGAAGAAAAAAAATTGGGTACACCCCAAAATAAAACATCGAACTGGATCAACATGGCTATTTTCGGCCTACAAACTGGTGAACATGATCTATGAATCGATGTTTTGGTTTTTGAAATGGGCCGAAAGGTATCGAGACGGACCAACCTTGGCATTGTCCTCAACCCGTAGGGCGAGACAATGCCCCGACTGGACCATGACGTTCCCCAGGGGATGACATTGAAAATGGTAAGAAAAAATTCGATGCACTGGAAAAAAAAACGGAAGAAAACATGATGATATACAGTGTTTGGTACTGTACCTTCAACTATAGTTAGCAATGAACATGAAGGAACCATGAAGAAATTATGGTTTCCTGATGTTTGTTCCCTTGAACCAACCCAAAGGCATTCGGATGACATGTTTTTTACGCGAGTGGATCAACGTTGATCAACGCTCATCCTCATGAATCCATGAGCTCATGACTTGTATCCTCGGGTAAGTTAATATAGTTATGGAAAATGGCCCATGTATATAATAGATGGTTTAACTATTAAAGATGGTGATGTTCCATAGTTATCTTAAAGTACCAGTGGCTCTCATAGCTATCTTCGATCATGGATTAAGGGTTTTGGATCAGTAGTCATATTCACTCATATGGAAATTTCCAATCCATGGGGGCACATCCAGCTATTGGGGTACCCCCATTTATTATGGACCCCAGAAAAAAAAAAAAAACCGTTGCAACGCGTTTTTTTGGATGGACACCAGATTTTATCTCTAATATCCACTGATGATATTCCATGATCCTACTTAGTTACTATCGGTTTACTCCATGATCCTACTATCATTGTTTTTTCATGGTTTTTCTAGCATCATTTCTATTGGTCATGGTTAATCTACAGTAATGGGGAAGCCCATAGCTACAACCCGCCTCATGGCAGAGACAACAACAATGGTCAACAGAGTGGTGCCGCCTGAAGTCCATTTAATCCTGAAAACCGGATTCTCAGTTCATGGTTCATGATAATGCATAGAATGCCCTATATATAGAGGGTAGTATTACCCCCGAAGTAATCATCCAGCATCAGGGGGTTGAACACTATGGTTCAGCTTGTGGCCATTGAGTTCTCAGTAAGTTCTTCATTTTTGTCGCGTCGCAACGCGGAGCCGGGCTGGTTGTCTATGCAGATCCATACAAATTGGGATCATTGGGATTGTCTCGGACCTCAAGAAGCAATGATGATATCGTGCTGCATCCTATTTCCCTGGCCCCAAGCATAAACACCTGAGAAACCCTGGTGTGTAGTGACAGTGGTGGATCGACGATTTTTTGGCGCATGCAAGGGGTGTATTAGGGGATGGGATATGTTGCAGATCCAACCACCCGATGTTTTTTCCTGGATGTCCCGCTGCGCTGTCAGACGTGCATCGCTTCCGCGAGTTTAGCGCAACGGAATAGATCCCGGGTGGTGAAATGTCCCACGTAAGAATATCAGCCCCTCTCCATCAAGCTGATTAAGCTATTGTCTCAAGGCTGATCCAGCAATTTGGATCATTTCCCAACCCTGGTAGATGGCCTGCTGTGAAAGTCCGCACCCTCAGTGAAGGTGAGGCGTTGGCAAGGGGTCTTGACTGAACTTGACTGTTCATTTATTAATTATATGTAGTAGCCACCTCCCCAAGAAAATAAAGACTGTTATCGTTGCAACAGATTTGCCACTTTTTTTAGGATTGGATTTGACATGATTTGACTGTTCTATCTTTTGTATCTTTTATGGGGTTTCTACTCAGTGCTTTGGAGTTTAGACAACTTGCCACCTGCAGAGGGTTTATGTCGCATGAGTGCTGCAAAGATGGGCCCGTGGCAGGTGCAACAAACATGTCATATGAAGAATGGACAGGAGTCGGCAGCACATGATTTGCTAGACGTAGATGGTGCCACTTGAGCCATGTTCTCAATACTTCTGTTGATTGGTGATTTTTTCAGGGGCTCATTGCCAATTGCCAGGAGATGCCAGGAGTATTAGAGACCCTCATGGAAACCATATAGGAAAATTACTAACAAACCAGTATATTTGGATGTGTATTTCGGGGTATTTCCCATGGCTCACTTCAGTTTTTTCAAGCAATGATGGGTCGGCATGGGGCTTAGTTTAAAATTTGGTTCTTGCAAAATGTGGCGATTGGTACTGAAAAAAAGTCCATGGATGTGGTTCTGTGGTCTAAATTGACCCATCCCCTTTTCGATGGCTGGAATACATTTGCTGTCACTGGTTGAAGATTGTACATTTGCTGTCAGAATTTGGAGATGCGTGATGTCACTCGGCTGCCTATTCATGCTTCCGAACGGAAAGGTTGCGAAAAAACACATGTCCCAAAATGCTTCCTTTGACATCTTTCCCATTTTTGACGTTCAGAGGGGCATTTGGACCCAATCCACTCAAGCAATCCAGTGAAAATCATCCACCCTAGTGAAGCCTCGCCCTTGGGGCACCCACAGAAAGATCATTTCACTGAGATTCCTTTTGCAGGCGGCTTTGGAAAAAGCTTCTCATTCCCCGTAGAGCGAGCCAAACTGCTTTGTTTTTCGATGTTTTTCGTTGTCGTTGGGCCCGTTGGGCCCTATCCACTGGTTTTTAAGAGGGGATGTTGAGCCTTGGTTCCCTCTAGCAAGGCGCTGTTCGTCAAACATGACCAACGTGCCTGGATGGAATTGTCTTAGGACCTTGAAGCAATCGCTAGCGTATGCTACCGTCCCAACAGACCAACATGATGAGATCCTGTTCTTTGTCGGAGACATCATCTGTCAATGGCTACCTTTTTGTTTGGGTCAGAACCTAAAACCCATGAGAAGCCTCAACATGTTTCCATGAGTAACCCAGTTTTGTATTTTTGTGAGAGCAATATAGAGCAATCCAACTTGGTGAACCTATTCTTGATCCACTTGATCGCCATGGGCCGCCCCCCATGGCCCCTTTTGTGGGCCCCGGGCTGGAGGTGTTGATCTATGAGGTCACCGAGGAGGTGCCGAATGGCGGATGAAGTGGAGTATATATAAATGTTGACAACATTCCCATGTTTGATAACCAGACTAGCTATAAACATATGTAAACCAGATCTGTGGTAAAATACACTAAAACACACACTAAAACACACACACACACAGACACACAGACACACAGACACACAGACACACACACACACACTTTTTTCCATTGAGACTGTTCTCAAATGTTAGTCTCCTTCACGTAGATTTAGATGCAGTTTTGACTTTACCCTCCACCAATGAAACCTGCTAATGGACAACCACACAATAATGTGTGAGCATAGACCCATCTATGAACGGGTGATTTACTCGATTTTAATGTTGGACCCAAAGATCGAATTTTGGTTTTCCTGGCGGGACACGTCCAGGATATGACGTTTCTACCTGGTGGCAAGTTCTACACCGCCTTCAGCCCTATTCCGGTGTCCATCAGGCCCGACCTGGTGACCTGGCCCAAAATCAGATGGACACTCTGGTGAAATCAATCCGTCCAGATCCAGATCCATACAGATCAACAGTACATTGCATTACATTGCCAGGCCGGGATGTTTGCTGATCACTGACTACTCCACGTGTAACGAGGTGCGGCCAACGGATGTAACGGACTTATCGTCAATTGGCTGGATTGGATGAAGCATATAAATATAATATATATAATATGATTATTAGAACTATAATTGTATTTTATAATTGTTAATATGTGATTATCATGGTGGAATGTTCTTTTGGTCACGCTTTCTATTTTGGTTGGAAACTCCATCAGCCGATGGTTGACTGGCGATTGGTGATTTACAGTAGTTTGGAAGTTGGAATCCCATCCACCATCATCCAGCTATTTTAAGGGACTATTTGAAATGATGATGATGTGAACGACTCTAATATTCACATTATTCACCCTTTTTGGCAAGTGAAGTAATTTTCGAGAAATGTCCAGAGATTTTTTTCAGCCTGGGAAACTTTCTGGTGGCTCCTGGGAGAATTTTAGGGACCAACAAATTCCCCAGTCATCATCCACGCCCGTGGATTCCAAATCTCAGCCGAGATTTGGATGAGTCGCAACGCGGCCAGGGAGCCTAGATTTCCGCGTCTCCGAGGGAATCTCCAGTAATTTGCGTCTCCGAGAATTGGAACATCTGCAAGAAACGCCAAGAATGAATGGGAAAAGAACACTGAATTTCTGTTGATCTTCCCTTAAACCAATCCAATGAGAGTCGGATAATGACACATCACATACTTCTTGATACCAATGTGGATCGACGTACCAGGCATACAGTTGGAGGCCATCCCCAAGTCAGCAGCATTAGTTGGAAATTCGGTTCTCATTAGTTATCCATGGTTCTTTTCCATGTTTTGCATAATCCATAGTTAGAATAATCTGTTGCATTAATATAGTTATCCCATGGTTTTCTCCAACACGATTTTTCCGCCGGCTGAATCTGCCATGGAACCCTTGAGGCGGTCTACGACAATGGTCAAGTCCAGGGACCTGGAGTGCGCAGCCAGGATGAGCAACGCCAATTGTATCAGATTCGGCATGATCATTTAAATATCATTTAATTTATAGTGTATACTATATCTATATATATATATCCCGGTTGGAATTTCCCTCATAATTTGAGAGGGGTCGACCCTCTTATAAATGGGCATTTTGTAGTTACAAGAAGCCCCCTAACCAGGGCATTTTGTAACAGGACACCTAAAAGGCAAAGTTGTACATTTTGAAGTGTTCATTTTGTAAGAGTTTTGAGGGGCCAACTCATTCATTCTATAAGACCATCGAGTTTGTTTTTCCAGGCTTTTTGTAAGGTCAAGATGCTGTTATTAAACATCAAACAAACAAAAAACTTAGCAGGGTGTGCAATGACATGTTGTAAGGAGATGTCGTCAAGATTAGAAGAATCATTTTGTAAGAATATATGCTTTTTAGGCATTGATACAAATTATTGTTCAGATTTGTAACATGTACATGTTTTTGATTCGGCTCAATCATCAGGAGTTCTGGCAGGCAATGATGCCAAAGAAAAAACAAATACATAAATACAAAAGGTGGCAAAGAAAAGGAATCCTTACAAAAAGGCTGCTTGAAAACCAACGAGACCGGGAAAAAAGAAGCAGGGAACCAGAAGTTGCTGCCTTACAAAATGATACCCGCTATCTGAAATCACAACTTATTATAAGAAGGTCATCGAGTGGGATACAACACTCATATCATGAAAAAAGTTGCCACCTTACAAAATGATGACGGATTTTAGAGTCGAATGTGGGTGCTAAAAACCTATGCTTTTTGTAAGGGCCAAAATTCCCAAAAAAAACGATCCATTTTATAAAGGATTTCAAACACCCACCGGTTTATGCTTACAAGAAGCCGGGTGCGACCCCTTCCCCCAAATTCGAACCCGGACCTATATATTATATACAATTATACTATATATTATATATATACTATATTTTAGTCAAGTCATGTCAGTTAACCCCTGATGTTGTTTTTTTAAAACCCAAACATGTTGATTCACCATCTATTTCTCATCATCTCTCCATTTTGGTGTTAAATATCACTTCAATTGCTGTTAAAGTAGTGGCTGGGTCCCTCCAAAGCACAGTTCAATCAACCCAGATGAATGATTAGATAAATCTTGGCAAATCGTTTCTTTTCACGGATGGTCTTGTGGCCATATAAAAAAAACGTTGCTTTAACCTTCGGTCACGGGCGTATCTCCCCATCCGGGCGTTGCTTCAGCCGGGACGCCATCGGGCCGGCGTCACGGCTCGGCTCTACTTTGTGCAGGAAGAGATGAGAGAGCATTTCCTTCCTTTGATGAGGTGCCTCGCGCAGTTCGATTTTATGTGAGACAATGAAGTAGCTGCTAGCTATCGTACAGATTCGTACAGTACATATATATATATATATATTAATCATGCACAATCCTTTCGCCATGTTGCAAAATACTGAACATTAATTAGAGGTACAAGAGCCATCGCAAGCCATGATGGCTATCCGGTTTTCCAAAAAAGACACACGTCACAAATGAAACTAGCCTAACTACTCCTTGTCTATTGATTGTTATATATTGTTATGCCAACATTTACCCCAAAGGCATAGACATGCATAGATTCCACAGAGCATTGGGGTAATCATGTATATATGTAATTAATTACTCCATGCATAGAGTACTGAAGATGAATGTAGACAACGTCGTAAATCTAATAAGAAACCATCCTCAAATACCACCCTCAAATTTATTTGAAATGGGTGGGGTACTACACCATCCCCAAATTGGTGGTTCTCTCATTACATTGCTCTACCCCATGAATATCCCTTAAATTAATAATCAATGATCGCCGCGGAAATCGCGAATCATAGTGGTGGTGAGGGTAGTATCGTTAGCCATTGTATAATCAGAACTGGAGGATGATAGTTTCCATAGGATCCATGTATGCTATATATGGTAACATTTACCACCAATATACCCCCAATGTTAGCATATATACCATACATGGATCCTATGGGGTTGGTAATACAATGGATCAGTATAAATCATTGGGACAGTTATTATCTCCGATGAAATCTTCAAGGACGCAATGATGCCGAGCTGCCAATGATGCCATCGGCTACCAATATAGCAACCCCAATAAACAGAAAGAAGGTATCAACGGGATCAATTTACCATATTACGCATATGAGTTCAGTAGGATGTAGTTTTTCTGCATCTATTTTTGGGTGAGTTCCAAAAATGATGTACCCCAAAATGTGATTCTTACCCTCTAGAGTAAACGTTTACATAACTATGGAGAAATTCAAAAAACACAATATTTCATAGGTAAAACAACTATAGCTGGGCCATGTTCATCCATTTTCCATATTTTTTCCATAGCTATGGCAATGTTTACCGGAGGGTCACCATCACTGTCCCCCCTTCCGCCGGAGGCAGCGCGGGATGAAGCTGCGGCGCGCCGGGCGACGCCTGGCACGTCCCGCAAGGCACGGGGACGCGGGACGTGGCAAAGAAATGTGTTTTAGACATGATTGACATGGCAAGATCATGATTGACATTTGGCTTTAATCATGGTTTAATCATGTTGTAAGTCTTTGATAAACCTATTGCTTTGATCCAAGGTTGATGAAAGTATGATCACTAAATGACAGAAAAAGAGTTGGATGCCGTTCACAAGTCGTGGTGATTCTATCGATTTTCAATTGACCTGTGTTATAAACATCACTTGAAACTTGAAACGGTCTTTTAAATACTGGTTGGGCCCCTCAGGAACCTTATGTTTGGAGAGAAATGGAGAGAACATAATCATCAATTGACATTCTCTTGGAGGAACGGGCTGACACCACCAGGTATTAAATATATAGATTATGATTATAATTACTTATTATAGATACTTGCTGGAATCAACAAGAATAGACCGTCTCTAACGTCCAAAAGGACACAATTTTCCAATCGCTCAAATGAATGCAAATGATCTGGCTAAATTGTAACGACTTCACTGCGACCTCACTGGAATGATGGTGAACGTAAGGGGAACTACTGCCAAACTTTTCAGGTTTTCAACATTTAGTGAATTACATTGAATTACTAATTAATTTACCCAGACACTATGTTTTATCCCCATTATAGTAATATACCATTAATATGCCCGATTTACCCAATATCCCAACAGGTTCCCTATAGCCGGTTCCCCTTTGAGGCGTGGCGAGGAGGTGTTGACCATCATCAATGGCGAGGTGCCGTGGGGCAAAACGCCAAGTTTCCACACTCTGGTGGGCCCAAATATTGTTGATTCAGCCTGAAACTGCGAAAAAAGAGCCACGAGAGTGTGATTTGAGATGATGAAATATGATATTACAATATATTACATGCTCATAAATGAGCATAAAAGTGAGATGCTTAAAAACCACGTGGGCCAAAATGTTTGCTTCTTAGGTTGACCCAGTCCGCCTCATCCACCTACCTGGTCCCTGAGGTCGTTGCAAAGACGGTGGTGCTGGATGACTCCAGCATGGTTCCATGACGAAAAATCAACGGGGACGACCTCTGGGATCCAACGGAAGATCCAACGGTGGCAATGAAAAGTGAGGAAAAACTGAGGTTATCCAAAGATGGTAGATGATGGTAGATATAGCTACTGATATTTACTGATATAAGATCAGGATTCAAACATGCTGTGCTGGAAAATCACCCATATAGTTTCTACTAATTTATGACGACAATTTTCCCAGCCATGTTTGATCACCGGAGAGTCACCAACGAGACAACTCGCTAGTTGAACATCCCATAGGGCCCATAGAGGTGAAAGCTTCAGGATGGATAAAGCCTTGTTTTTTCGACGTTCAAATCCAACTGACAAGGAGAGAACTATATATTTGGGACTGCAACATAGAGATTTAATTTGCTGACATCTTCACTATGGCAGCAGCATGGTGGTGTGTTGCGGGATATAAAGTTTGAAGAAATATACACACTTGCAAACAGGAATCAAAGTGCCTGAAGAAAAGGTATTGCATTGCAGTGCATGAATGAACGAACGAACTAAGAAATTATCTATGTTTTTTTTTTTCTGGTGTGAATCGACGTTGTCAGCCACCAAGTCATTGATGTGCCACTTTCCGTCCCTTCCCGTTCCCAAACTGAGTACAAGTTGTGTGTTTATGTTCATTCCTTATGATGATTCCGTGATTTTTCCACCTTAAGAGGGCCATTTTTGGAAAACATTTTGAGGTATGCCCCCCATTGAAATGGCCGCAGGGTTGGCAAAAAACCAGCCGTTTGTGGTCAATTCCGCAGAATTTTCTCCAGGTCGTCCAAGAAGAATCTGTGGATCGCGAGGTCGGGTAATATCACTTCTAGATGGATCTGTAGCATACCTGTACCATGCATACTATGGTCGTACTTAGCCCCGGTGTTTCTGGAAATGTCGTGAAGTGGAGAATATAAACACCAATGGCATCAGCGATTCAATTTTGCTGTAGAGGTCTACGTGTTGGATGGTCCCTCGTTTGAAGAGACCTACCGACAATCTGGTTCCGAACTTCCACGCAAGGCCGGGGCTGGGTTTAGAACCGAGTTGGTTTAATGTGCAGGGGCCCCGAGTTCTAAGTCAATGTGGACAACCCAGTAATAAGCCTACCATTTGGGGATGGTTTATAATACAACCCATTTGTAGTTATTTTGGGGACGGGTTATTGTTAGGTTTACCATGTTGAACCACATTAATTACTGTATAGGCAGACCCAACATAAATCCCATTTAGCCTACGCCAACTTTCCTAGAAGGCCCCTTCTTGTGGGTGTATCAACCATTTATGATGGGGGATATGAAGCAACCAATATGTATAGATACTTGGCTGAAGACATGGAGTTGTTTGCCGTTAGATGTGAACATACATTTTCTCCAGTAGGTGTAAGTGTAACTGAGTTGATTGATGTTTATTGTCATTGTTGTCCTTGAGTCATAGTGAGCCCGTGCGACAAGCCTGTGGCTTTGTAGATGTTTTGTGGATTGGGTCCCCAAAATTTGACCGCCATCGCTATAATTCTCTATATCCATACGTAGCATTCCATATCTATCCTCTAGTTGACTGCAACTGTTTTTTTAAAAGGCAACTGCTAGTCTTGGACTTGGCCTATAGCCTAGATATCCATGAAAAGTCAAGAAATGCCAAAGATGCATCAGAAACTTACAGGGATCCCTAAACCTGGTCTTGTTGAAGTTGATTGTGGCCCTCGGTAAACTGGTGTCTTCCTACTTTTCTGAGCCTTGTGGCATCATACCAAGAAAGGAAGATGACTACCTAAACTTTAGGTATCGCAAAAATGATAAACAAATGGTCTCATGATGATGATTGCGATCCGGCGATGTCCCACAATTAAACTCTGTCTTTCACCCCGTGTACTGGATGAACTGCAGCTATTATCTTACTCACATAGTGACTTAGATTTTCAGCGTTTTTGGATTGTATATACGTGAGCAAACGCTCAAATTCCATCAACGGTTAAGCTTTTGACAAGGGGATTAGCAGCACACTGCCAAGTTCAGGTGCTGTTTGCTTGCCCCTCAACCAACTGACCTGTTTTTCACATATTTCATTTGAATTTCCGCCAATTTTATAAAGATACTTTGAGGGTCAAACATCTTCGAGTCAACCTTCAGACTTCCAGTGGTTCAAACCGCCCCCCGATCGCCTCATCCACGTGGTGTCTGCGGTCTCGGACCGCCGATCTCGACTCGCGACTCGCAATGTGCTTGCAGACTTCTCCATGGACAGCCGCACAGGTACTCTGAGGGTTGACAAATGACAGCACTACTGAGTAGTCACTGAGATCTACTGGGTAGTACATCTTAGTACTGAGTAGAACGTAACGTGTTGCCAAGTTCGTATTAATAAACCACACCCCCTAGAACTTAAGAGTCTCCAGTCCCCAGCAATTACTTACTAGGGCTTGTCATATTTTAAAAAAAGACGACCAACCTGCCTGGCGGTAGAGATTTCTCTTCTCAGGCACGACCTCCTTCCCAATGGGGTGGGATGGTGAGATTGGGCATGGGACATCCCTTCAAGGCATGATTTGTTCAACAGTTAAAAACAATTTAAACATATCCCATAGGATCCATGTATGGTATATATGCTAACATTTGGGGTATATTGATGGTAAATGTTACCATATATAGCATACATGGATCCTATGGGTATTTAAAACAATTTAAACATACGTAATCCACAAAATTAGGATTTCTGAGCAGGGTGTTGTTTAATAGGGGGTCGCACATGTTGATTAATAGGGAGGGACCAACCCAAAGTAAAATTTAATATTGCCAAACATTTTTTGGAATGTGTGTGTTGATGTGAACACTCCTGAAAACTGCGAACTCAACTTCAATGGCCACAAGTGCCAGAAGTGCCAATTTATCCAAATTGATCCAAACTTCTTCACTTGAATCACTTGAAACTTGAATTTGGATTGAATTTGGACTTTCAGCTTTCCAATGAGTTTTCTCCACCTTTGCAACCGCTCAAGCCATCAGGAGGCTCAGGCTCCAGCCCGCAAGACCGTCACTTCCGCCCTGGTGGAGGAGATTTTGGCCAATGCTGCACAGGTCGGACGTGGGAGGGGACAATGGGGGATCCCCCGGACCGGCAGCGATTGGAACATCTCTGGTTGGTGGTGACTGGAACATGAATTGACAAAAATTTCCCAGATTGGGGATGATGATCCAATCTGACTAATTTTTAAGTATTTTTCAGGGGGGTAGGCTCAACCACCAATGAGTCTCTTTTTTTTCGGAGATCCTTTCTTGAGACTTGGGTACCAATGGCTCCATCTGGATTGTGTTTTCTCGTGTCTTTGTCCGCCGGGGAACGCTAAATGCGGGTGTTTTATCACAGCGGGATGAGAGAAATGCAGCAGGCAGCAGGCGCATCAAGGCAAAGGTTGGTGATTTGGAATATCGTGTTTTCCATCGTTTTTTTTTGATGACCAAATGTCCTACTCCAGTGACCAAATACAACTTGCTGGAAAACTTCGGTTCCAACAAACAATTTACAGATGATTGTGTGGTTAAAAGTAGGGAGTTTGCCATGTTGTTGCCAGAGAGTAGATTTGAAAAATTGGTCTCCGGCCTCCGGTCTAATGGTACCCCACCACAAACCCCCAAACATCCCCAAACCTGAAAGGACTGAACACCAAGGGGTCTGGAAACAACAGGGATGAATGCCCAATTAAGGCCAGTCATACAGAGAAACTTACAATACAACAAACATCATTCAAACACTGATAAACCAACTTTGATGCTTAGTTTCGACATGTTTTCGAACCAAAGCCTGCCATTTTGGCTTCGATCCCAAGCATCGCCTCGCAACGCGTCAACGTTGGCAGATCTCTCGATCTGCTCGATCTGCCAGGCCAGTTTGGAAGCGCCCAACCGCGCCTTGAAGCGTCGCGTGCGGCAACGTTTGCACAAGAAATTGGGCTCCATGCTCACCTGTGAGGAGCCGCCATGGTGAGGCCATGGTTGATGCACTCAGCCCTTGGGGCAATGATGGTTTGATTATATCTAATACTGTACCTTCTGGAAATGTTAGTAATACATTCAATGGGAATAAAAAGGGATCCTAAAATGGAGGTACGTTAGTACCATATAAGGTCATATTTTGTTGGGATATTCCCTTACATAGGCCTTATATAGGCCTTATACATGGTAGGTACTTCCAATTTAGGATCCTGAAATTCCCATTGTTACATAGCAAACATCAGAACCCTCCTTTGAAGAACGGTAAACCATCGAAGCTAATTTGTCATTAACGATATTAAATTACCAGAGGGTCACCAGTTACTATATTAAATGATTCACTATTATAATTATTATTCAGCATGGGACAGCATAAAGCCCGGTTGGGACCCAATGTTGATCATGATCATACTAATTGCTCAATCATTAAACACGCTGAAGGAAGTTTACAACTCATGTATGCTCTGTCAAGCAGAGAATCTCGGCATGCCAATGAGAAATCCCCCAGAAACGGTGAATAAATGTGAATAATGTATAAGTGCGCCAGTTTCCATAGCTAAATTCCCGGAGGGTATTGTGTTTTAGTATGTTTTAGTGGCACGGACCAACTTTCAAAGCCTTGATACTGGACGAAGGGTATGCCCCCTGGACAAGCTAGCACCATGTTCTGTTGGTTTCAATCCCAGTATCTATTAATATAGCTGGTTGGTGGTTTGGAACATGTTTTATTTGTTTTCCATAATATATTGGGAATAATCATCCCAACTGACTCTCATATTTTTCGTTTGGAAAATGTTTTTTCCCATTCAGTTGGGAATTTCATCATCCCAACTGACGAACTCATATTTTTTCAGAGGGGTAGGTCAACCACCAACCAGATAACCAGAGAATATTTGACCCAGAACATGGCATTGGAAAATCAGCACTGTTTGAAGCGAAGCCTTGGGAGATTCTGCCGTTCGTTCATGGTGGCTTCCGCAGGAGTTTGGCAATGCTATGGAGCGTTTCAAAGTCATGGAAGCCAACAATGAAGCAAGTGGCACTTTGGCATCATCATACTTACCCTCTGGTTATGACTAACATAGCCATGGTATAGATGGCCCATAGAAATAGATGGTTTACCTGGGTTTACCTATTAAAAATGGTGATTTTCCATGGCTATGTTAAATAACCAGAGGGTAAAACATTTTGAAACAAATCTCTGACACTGGGGTGTCACCTCGACTATTCAAAGCGGGCGCAGACTGAAGATCTCTATCTGTTTGTCTTCAGGGGCTGTGCCAGGTTTTGCGATTGCAGTGATGGTCGTGGCATTGTCCCGGAAATGAGGGTATACCTCCTAAATCTAAAACCCAAAATCATCCACAATCCAAATCTATTTTTGTTAATATTGGGTTCGTACATGCAAGTGTCACCAGTTAAAACCTGAAGGGCCGCAATCAAAAACGCAATTAACAAAATCCCAAAAAAGGGGTCAAGCTGCCCCAATGTTTATATTATGATCCCATGGGGGTTCTTATTCTTAGAGGGAAGGGATTATTGTACCCTGAAATTGCAAATTTATTGGAGAACATGATAAGCCATGGATTTGTTTGGGAGAAACCAATCTTCTGTTATTCAAAACCAGGGTACGCCGGATCCCACCTCCATGTCCAGCCTGGCCATCGTGCCAGGTACCACTGTCCCAGTCACCGCACCTTGTCCACTTGCGGCTCCACCGGCGGTTCAGCAGGTGGACCAGCAAGCGGCTCCACATGGAGCAACGTAATGTTTATGTGTCATACCGGAGTCATACCCAAGAACAAACTATAGTGACTATAGTGACTATAGTGAACCTTCAACACTCGGTGCATTGTCATTGGGTTTACCAGGTTTACCACAGGGACCAAAGACTTGTGTAGCCCAGAAGCTTTTGAAGCTCTACTTCCTGGAGTTTACATCCCACAAATGCACAGATGAGCTGCCAGAATGACGAATATGGATGGACATCAGTTGGTTTAGAGTTTAGAGGGACTCTCGTAGACAGGGATATTC